GTCCGACTTCAGCCAGGTCACGATCTCGCGGTCCGTGAGTTCGAGCCCCGCGTCGGGCTCCGGGCTAATGGCTCGGAGCCTGGAGCCTGTTTCCGATTCTGTGTCTCCCTCTCTCTCTCTGCCCCTCCCCTGTTCATGCTCTGTCTCTCCCTGTCCCAAAAATAAATAAACGTTGAAAAAAAAAATTAAAAAATTCAGTAAGTATGTATTGAATGTTTTTTATGTGTCTGGCATTGTGTTTGGAGACGTAGGGGTTATCAAAATAGTGGGTGAATAAATATTGAGGGGATAGTCAAAACTAAGAAGATTTTATCCTTTAACTGAAGGCCCTTATTTTGTGTTTGTGGGATGATCATCTAAATCTAGAGTTGGTGGAGAAAGAGCCCAGGTATGAAATAGCTTGGGTATTCATGGGGAAAAGGGGTGGGTTTTCTCTTACTTAAGGAGCAGTAACATGTTAGGGGTGGTATGTGTGGGGATGGATTTAAATTTCTCTCAGGGTTTATAATTCAACCTGTGAGAATAATCCATATGTAGATGACCATAATAGTAACACTAGTTGAAAAGGTAAGTGTTATAACAAAGGTGTATTATTCAAATTAGAGGAGGGAGCAATTATATTAAATAGGGATCTTTAGAAAATACACTATGGAAAAGGTGGCATTTGATAAAGGCTTGGAAAGATGCTTATGCTTTTGGCGACTTGAATATTTCATTGTTTAATGGAAGCTTACAGAACTCATGAGGTGTAATGGAAATTAGCACCTAACTTCCAGTACATGTATTGCTCCTAAGTAATGATATGACTTTGGAAATGTCACTTGATTCTCTAAACCTCAATTCCTGGGGCGCCTGGGTGGCGCAGTCGGTTAAGCGGCCGACTTCAGCCAGGTCACGATCTCGCGGTCCGTGAGTTTGAGCCCCGCGTCGGGCTCTGGGCTGATGGCTCAGAGCCTGGAGCCTGTTTCTGATTCTGTGTCTCCCTCTCTCTCTGCCCCTCCCCCGTTCATGCTCTGTCTCTCTCTGTCCCAAAAATAAATAAATAAACGTTGAAAAAAAAAATTAAAAAAAAAAAATAAACCTCAATTCCTAATATGGAAAAGGAAGATTTTGGAACTATATTCCTCTTTAAGGGTTCTTTTAAACTGTAACAGATTATTTGTAATTATCAGAGTTGACTTTACAAATGGACTGGATATCTTCTGTTTACCTTTTCAGAACTACTCTCTACCTCTGTCTACACTATTTCTGTCCTGGGAGACTGACCTTCCCCAGCCAAATCATCTGGCTCCCCTGCCCTGTGGCTTCTGGTTGGATTACGCAAATGGGAGTCACCAGCTGGAGATCAGAGAGTGAGGTGAAAGTGGAATCAGGGTAGTTACTCCCCTGGTGCCCTCCCTTGTGTTGCCTTGAATTGGCTGCTTTCCTCTCCCAAAAGCTATACCTCCTGTCAGGAGGCCCTCTCTATATAATTACCCCTTTTTAGATTCTGATAATTACTTACTCCTCTTGCCCTTCAGGCTTAGGGATGGTAATATCTCTTGTTGTTGCCAGATCCCCAGGAACTGTGCAATATCTCCTGTTCTCTATCCCCTAGACTCTGTCCATGTTTTTGAAGTAGACCCTTAGTTAAGCTATCATTATCAAATTACCAAGTTTGAGCATGCCACTTTTTTTTTTTTTTTTTTGCCAGAACTGACTCAATACTTTCTGTTCTCTTGGAATGATGTCCCACCAATCTCTATATCTTAAAGATTTATTGCCATTATGTGTTATCAAGAGTCTCTATAAAATGAAAATATTCTGGGAGGAACTACATGTTAAGTTGTCTGGCTATTATGTTAATTGTCAGTAGCTATGATTGGATTGTATGCTACCTGTTTAAGAGAAATGTGTGTGTACTCTTCTGTGTGTGCCCCTTTTCTTTGCATTCAGTGAGAACTGAACAGTTTTATTTAAGTCATCTTCCTGGAAGAAAATATCATTAGACTAATTGGATCAAGGTGTGTGGAGTCTTTTCTTGTACCAGTGAGGAGGAGTCTTTGAAGAGTATAAGTCCAGGGCACCTGGGTGGCTCATTCAGTTAAGTGTCTGACTCTTGATATTGGCTTAGGTCATGATCTTGGCAGTCATGAGATCAAGCCCCATGTCATGCTTTGGGCTGACAGTGCAGAACCTGCTTGGGGTTCTCTCACTCCTTCTTTCTCTCTCCCCTCCCCTGCTCACTCGTGTGCATGTATATTCTCTCTCTCTCAAAATAAATAGACTTAAAAAAAAAAAAGAGTATACGTCAAGGAGTCATCTGATTAAATTTCCATTTTTTATGGGCTCCTCAGATGTCTATATGTTGGGTGAATTTGTAGGTAAGGAGGCTGATGTTTTATATTAAACGATTATAAGTATCTGAAGAAGAACAGTAGTAATCAGGTATTGAAGGAAGGAGTTGAAAAATGAGTGGTTGTGGCAGTGGACTGGATGAAAGGGGAAAAAGCTGTACATCATTTTTATCTTTTTTGTGTGAGTAATCAGATGGAGGATGGTGACATGATATGGAGAATAATGGAGGAAGATGAGGTTTGGGGGAGAGATGATGAATTAATTTTTTATTTGTGTATTTGAGGTGCCTAACGGACATCTAGGTTCTCCTGTTATAGAAGGCAGTTGATTGGAATAGTCTGAAGCAAGGAGGAGTAGACCAGATGAGAAATAATAACCTAAGGAGTCATCAGCAAACCATTATTAAAACCAAAAAGGGAATGAGATCACTCAATAATTGTGTGTAAAAAAGAATGTGTACCAAAGATCGGAAGCTGGAGAAAACTAATGTAATATGAATTTGGTAGAAGAAGTTGACCTGAGGAATGAGAAAGAAGGAATGGTTGAAGGGGTATGCAGAGAACCAGGAGACTCTGGTAGCCTGGAAGCCAAAGAAACTGAGCTTTAAAACACAGGACGATCAACAATGGCAAATGCACCCAAATTTCAGAAAGGTAGAGGCTGAAAAATAGTGTTTGGAGTTGACAGTTAAATGATTACTGTAGGGAAACAGCAGTTTCAATGGAGTAATTGCTCATTAGATATTAGATTTCTATATGGAAGGGACAGAAAGAGAGAGCAAGTGTAAACTGATATGAAAAAAACTGGGGTGAGTAAAGGAGAGAATATGGATGGAAATATGTCAAGACAAGGTTTTATATATGTGTGTATGTATGTGTGTATGTGGGTGAGTAGGATGGTAGGTAGGTAGGTAGAAATAGATATTGATTTACTTTTATGAGAATGGGGTAGGGCAGAATGAAATTTTGGAGATACAGGAGAGGGGATGTCTGATAAAAGCCAGAGAGTCTTGGTTCAAGAACACAGGTACTAGATTGGCCTTAAGTAGAGGAGAGTCACTGAACCCTTTGGGACTTGAAGTAAGGATAGGGATGATTAAAGATAAATTTGGGGGCGCCTGGGTGGCGCAGTCGGTTAAGTGTCCGACTTCAACCAGGTCACGATCTCGCGGTCCGTGAGTTCGAGCCCCGCGTCGGACTCTGGGCTGATGGCTCAGAGCCTGGAGCCTGTTTCCGATTCTGTGTCTCCCTCTCTCTCTGCCCCTCCCCCGTTCATGCTCTGTCTCTCTCTGTCCCAAAAATGAAAAAAAAATTAAAAAAAAAAAAAGATAAATTTGTAGGTAAGGAGTCAGAAACATTGAGAGGAATCGAGTCTGAGTCCCTTTACTTTCATGATAAGGTCAAAGACAATGTTGTCTGTAAATCTGAGGGTTGTTTGAAGAAATTATTAAAGTAGGGGTTTTAGGAGGTTGTTAAAAATTTGGAGTAGTCACTGAGAAATGCAGTGTGGTTAAGAGCTTGAGCTCTAGAATTCTGCTACTGATTAGCTGTGTGACCACAGGAAGGGTACACTATCTTTCTGTGCCTCCATTTTCATGGAGAAATGCAGATAACTATAGTTCCTGCCTCACTGGAATATTGTGACAGTTAATAAATGTTTACCTTCTAAAGTGTGTCTGGTACTTAGTAAATACTCTATAAATTATAGTTCTGATTGTTATACTTGAAACGTGAGGGATGAAGCAGTGAATAAGTGGTATGGAGAGGGAAAGAGAGCAAGAATATATGTGGTTGTGTCCATGCAAGAGCTGGAGTAGTTGTGGTTAAAGAATAGGTTATTTGAATTAAAAATTTTAGTTAGAGGGGCGCCAGGGTGGCGCAGTCGGTTAAGCGTCCGACTTCAGCCAGGTCACGATCTCGCGGTCCGTGAGTTCGAGCCCCGCGTCAGAGCCTGGAGCCTGTTTCCGATTCTGTGTCTCCCTCTCTCTCTGCCCCTCCCCTGTTCATGCTCTGTCTCTCTCTGTCCCAAAAATAAATAAACGTTGAAAAAAAAATTAAAAAAAAAATTTTAGTTAGAACTTGTTGAGTTGATGAGAAGGTCTGGTAACTGACTGTGAGAGGTAAAGGTCACTGGATTTGAGATGGACATATTGTCAAAGTATTAGAGTTTTGTACTTATAAACAGAATGATTGATGCAACCTCTGCAGACTGACAAAGGGGTGTGGTATTGACTGTTGACCACTTAAATATGACAAGTGGCATTGCTAAACGTGAATTAATTTTCTGGAATGGAAAACTATTCTTGGTAAAGTTTCTCTTAATTTATCTAATAGTTGCATTCTTGGAAAATTTACTGTATATTAAGTTCTTATAAAAAGTACTGTGTGATATGTAAATTTAAATTTGGTTTCAGGCATAATTGTCCTCCCCTTTCCCCCACCCCCTTTGTGAACTGTATGTCCTATAGAATTTGGGTTCTTTTTCAGCACTGTGCTGTCTATTGCAGGACATCCAGCATTCCTGTACCTCATCCATTGATAGCTAGCCGTGTCCTCTAATGTTTTGTACAGCCTAAGCACATTTTCAAAATGCTCCTGTTGAGCATTACAGGGAATTAGGGGAAAGAAGGCACAGAGTAGCATGTGGATTGGATCCCAGGAAAAGGGTCCTGTTTTGCACAGTGACCTAATATTATAGAGATATGAGGCAGGGAATTACCTGGTAACAAAGTTCCAGGTAGAATCCTGATACAAAGTTGAAATGGTGCAAAGTGGTAAAGTTTTCTTACTATCTTAGCCTCTTGTCCTCATTAATTCCTTCCTCCAAGCCACCCCCAGCCCAGTTGCAGCTGGTAGCCAACCTATGTTAACACTTCATGGCCCGGTGCAGTAAGAATTCTTGACTGGATTTGGTGAAGAGTATAGTTTCAGCATAATTTCTCTTTTAACTACATTAGCATTTTACTTCCTTTCTGCTAACTTCCAAGCTTTCCTTTTCTGTATGAAGACTGGTATAAATGCCTTATCATTTAATTAAATTAAATGATAAAACATTAAATCCCATTTAAATGTTTATTCTCATTTTTTCCTTGCCATCAGTAAATGTGTTGCATAAAATTGTAGTCATTGAATTTCTGTGTTTGCTTGTGAACGTAACCCAATGCATTAAAATGCAGTAGAATTATTTCTGTTTCATCTTTTGCTCAAAATGATAAACCTTTCATAGCGTCACCTTTGTCCAATGTCAACAGGTTTTGTTATTTTGGAAGAATCATCTCATTTGCAGCAGGTTGCTTCTGGTGATCTTAATCAAAAGTATTGCTTTTGAAAGAGTAAAGTTTGGTCAAGTTGTGCCATTCAGATATTGTGCTTTTTAAAAATTAGGTGACTTTTCTTGTTGGGATGAGCACTAGGTGTTATATATAAGTAATGAATCATGGGAATCTGCATGTGAAGCCAAGAGCACACTGCATACACTGTATGTTATATAACTTGACAATAAATTATATTAAAAAATAAAAAAATAAAAAAATAAAATTAGGTTACTTTTGAAATATGGAACAATGTTTCCATTTAAAAACATTTTTTAAATGTTTATTTATTTTTGAGAGAGAGGGAGAGAGAGACAGAGTGCGAGCAGGAGTGGGTCAGAGCGAAAGGGAGACACAGAATCTGAAGCAGGCTTCAGGCTCTGAGCTGTCAGCACAGAGCCCAACGTGGGGCTTGAACTCTTGTACCTCAAGGTCATGACCAGAGCCAAAGTCCAATGTTTAACCGACTGAGCCACCCAGGTGCCCCAATAGTTTCCATTGTAAATAAAAATTTAGGATGATAAAAAAATGATTAGTCAGGGATAAATGAGGTTTGATGAGGTTTTTATAGCTTCCCTTGGGAAGAAAAACCCCATCCTTAATAGTGAAGATTCGTTGTAGTTCCTTAAGTATACATGCTTTGTGCAATATACCTACTTTTAGTCTGTTTCCTGGGAGAAATGTCCATGCCAAGAAAATCATTGTGATTG